AGCTCAATATCTGGCACCTTGGGTGGATAATTATAGTTTAACTGTGATACAAATACAAGATGCATGCGTATTACGTACTGTAAGAGGGAATGCTGGGGTCAATTGGGACCTGTTAAAATTGTGTCCGATTTTGATACGGTCCAGATTTGCAATTCCGCTTTTTTTATTTTGTAATAGAGGTATATCTCGATATAACGTTACAAGGGATGTCATCTGATCACTCAATGAGCGCAAACTGATTTTCTGAAATAAACAAAGTGAGAATCAAGCAAACACAAATAGCGAATTTGTTTATTATTCAGTTCCAACCTGGGTCGGGTATCAAGATCGGCTCTGCTTGTTTTCCGACAAACGTCAGTTCGATCGTTTGTTTTTAAAACCTACCTCAGGCTGAGGTTCGCACTGACAAAAAGTTCGCTTTCAGCAAAATCAGCAAAATTCTACACGACATAAATCAGCAAAATTCTACACGACATAAATTTATGTCGCGCGTGCCGCCGGTCTTGTCTGCTTCTTTGTGCGAAAATGTTCTGTCGCTGGCAGAAAACAGTTTAGAAATGTCATGACATTTTTGCCACTTGCCAGTTTGTTTTTGTGTGTCGTCACAATGGTTATCGCAAAAAGTATCAAATGTTAAGGAAAAAATGTTAAACTCCAAGACTCGTGCCACCACTGGTCGTGGTTAGCAAAGTTTGCAAATAATTCAAAGAAGACATTAGCGCTTGTTGTATTATATTCGCTCCCTGCGCCGCACGGAATGTACCGCTCATTGTGTGGGTCACTGTCTCACAGATTATTAAGAAAAGAGTGTGTGAAGTAAATGGGAGAACCAAACACTCTTTGTCGAGTGTTGTGAGATGCATGCACAAAGTTGCTTTGCTAACGCTCTGAGGTGCTTTCCAGCCCTGAAAGTAACTGTAACTTTTCACTTCGATTGACGATTTATCGCAAACGACCATTTAATTACGGACAGTAACAACACCATCGAACAAATGAGATAATCCCCATCTAATGGTAATGTTGATTTTTTTTTGATTGAGTTGTTTGTGAGAATTAAACGATGGTAGTCAAAAGTGTCAGTCGTCATATCTGTAACATATTCAATATCCCAATAGTCCCTGAAATCTTAGCAAAGCTGGTATCTAGCCTTTCGTTTATTGCCGCTATTCGCATAACAGTCCTATGTAGATAGGATATCCATAGGACATGGGACTGTTATGCGAATAGCGGCAGTTTAGTGAATATTAAAATTTTATATTTGATTGAAAAATTAGAAGATACTGATAAACAAAGCACACATATGTATGAAGGACACATGTGTATGAGAAAATCAGCGGAAAAATCTACGGCAACCGGTGGGATTTGATCCCAAAGTTGAAAATGCATGCATTGTACGAATATAGAACAAAAGACAACGAAATCATTTCGTACGAAAGCATATCTAGTTTTTAATGTCCGAAATGAAATCAATTGATAATTATCGCCTCTCCATAATCGACGTAGGTAGGAAGTGTTCATCAAACCCCGGTCAAAGCGGTATACCATCTATCATCTGAAGAAGTGTAATGTACTACTTTCAACCGCTCGCCCTCATCCAAATCTTTTCCTAAAACATGGAAGATAGGGGAAATGGCTCTAATGTTGGCCTATGGATCTTAGATTGGGCTCATCTCTAAAAATCTTCTATTTCCGGAGTGATTTGAGATTTGGGCGTAATTGCTTTTGTAAACAAACACGTCAATTACTGATTTCTTTTGAATAAAAGCTCAATCTCACAAACAAATCATACTAAATGATAGAGGAATAATTCCTCTACCTCATAGTGTTATTACTTTTCGAGATTGAGCTTTTATTCGCGAGAAATCGGTGATTGACGTGTTTGTTTACAAATGCAATTACGATCAAATCTCAAATCACTCCAGATTTATCAATTGTATCTAAATGAACGTGTCGTTACATTTCCCCTATCATTCTTTTTTCCCGTGTACAAAAAGGGCGATAAACGAGAGGTTTCAGACCTGGGCTTCATTTTTTTAGCGCTGCAATAAAATTCTCGGATATTCACTGTTTGAAGACCCTGTATTGTTCCTTAATTCGCTCTACTTTGGAGTATGCAGTTATGGTCTGGACTCCTTAATATCAGAACAGCCTACAGCAAGTAGAAGCTATCCAACATAAGTTGATTATTCGCTTTGCTCTTCGGCGTTTGCCTTGGAATGATGCATAAAATCTCCCTACACAGATAAAAATTCTGAATATTAATTGTGATGTAAACTTTCATTCTCGTAAACTTGTATTTCATTTCACGCAACCGAGCAACTTGCAAACAATGTTGTTTACAAAGATGGGCTTTTGTATACAATATTTGCTACATTGCATGAAATGTGTCAGAACTTTACATGATATATAATGTAAACGTATATGTGCATCATATTGAACAGAAATTTACACTACTTTTTCGAACTGTGTAGATATGAAGATCGTTGTAAACTAATTGACCTTGACCTTCTAGAGGTTCGTAAGGTTTAAGGCTTCTTTCATATCGGAAATTGTTCAATCATACATAGATTGTCCTGCAGTGTTGCGTGAGTTGAATTTCGATATTCGTCATCGTTGAGTTTAGTGCTCCTGAAAATGCGTAGTGGAAGGATCCCATTAATCTTCTCCTTCAGTAAAAAAAAAAGGAAAAAGAAAATTGTTAACCCAAGCAACAACCCATATTTTATCGAGATTTTAAAGCACTCTTCAAGTCTTTAATCACGAGCTAAAAGATTATGATAAATCCCAAATTGTTACTTGCGAAATGTTCATCTAAATTTGCTTGTGCATCCCTATACAGAAAACTGATAACAGGAGACATTCCCTTCGTCACTTCTTTCTAATACACTTCATATTAACCAACACTACCAACAATCGACGGTTGTCGATCGTCCGTCAGCTGTAAGCAGATGCAGGCAAATTAGTAAATAAGAATACCTAGGTATGATTCGTACTAAACCGGAGCGGAAGACCATCTTTCGGTGTTGTGAAGTGCATTATTCGGTTACAGTAATAATCAGTCAGTGTAGTTAGGTTTCGCGCAGTGTTTGATCTTGTGTAAAAACTTATTTTTCCCAAGCGTCCGAAAGGTTAGCCAACAAAGGGCACGAATACATAGTTTTCCTGCAAAGGTACACTGAATAAAAACATCCGCCATACTTTGAATGATTAGTGCTTTGCTTGAGTCGTTTAACGCTAGTCATTCTAATATCTACACACTTTGCGAGTGTCAATGTTGACATAACATTGAGTCGAAACAGACGAGAAATTTAGCTCAATCAAACGTACTTTTCGTCGAGTAAGGATCTTTTTAGTCTTGGAGCACTTAATTTTCATGGCTTGTTTGTTTGCGTCTCATTCTTAATGTCGAAAATTGATCAAATCAAGAGTAAAATTAGTTATGTTTATGAATTAAATTTATTATTTTTGCGCTCAAATAACATAAACAATGTCGAACGATCCTTAACCAACATTGGTTAACGTACCCTAGAAATCAAAAGTGGTGCCCCCATCAAACCCCGTACGCCCTCATGCTCTGCACGTTTTAAAAAATGTGTTAATTTCGTTATCTCGCTGGTTGGAGTTTCTATTTACCTTCCTATTTAAAAGATGGCATCAGTTTGTCTGTGGGGCCTCCCTTAGCTCAGTCGGTAAGGGCGCAGCTACAAAGCGAGACCATGCTGGAGGTGGCTGGGTTCAATTCCCGGTCCGGTCTAGGAATTTTTCGGGTTGGAAAATTTCTCGACTTCCCTGGGCATAGAAGTATGATTGGACTTGTCACACAATTATACCAATGCAAAAATGGTACAAGCATCGAAAGCTCTCAATTAATAACTGTGGAAGTGCATCTAGAACATTAAGTTGAGAGCACGCAATAAGCTAATATGCGATATGCAATAAGCTTGAAATGCGAAGAAGAAGAAGAAAGATCAGTTTGTCTGTGGTATCAACACGAACTTCCTCTTTTATGTTCGTTGTAGAACTTTTAAGTTGTTTGTTTGAATTCTTTCCACAGGAAGTCGTTTTTACGATGCGTTCATATTGAATATCATCACGATGAAATTGATTAATGATTTGGCTAAAGTTGAGTCATAATACTGACCTGCAGGGAATCTATTATTTTCATGGAAGCGCGTGGTATTTCAGGCTGGACGCCAGTGATGGATCGCTCTTTTAGGGTTGTTTCACTACTTTTTATTATAGAATGCTTACGTAAAATCTAGCTGGATTTTAGTCAACCCTTTAGGATGGGTTTAATGCTATTAATCTCTCTAACAAAATGCAAAATTTCCGCACCGTAGAGCCACACTCTGTGTTTTCATTAAAGGTGCAATTGAGAGCGCTCGGTGAAAACACAGAGTGTGGCTCTGAGGCGTGAAAATTTTGAATTTTGAAAGGGAGCACTTGGTAGCACTAAACTATCTATTTTAAGACGAGTTAACTGAACTGGATTTAACGTAAGCATTCTATATTAAAAAGTAGCTAAAAAGTCCCAGAAAAGCGATCCATTCCTGCCGAACTCAATCGACACTGTCGTAATAGCTTGTATGCTAATAAGTTAGTATCTCATCCCAACTATTGCTTTCAGTAACTAAACACGTGATATGCACGTCCAAGCCCATCCTTCAAAACGATCGTCACAATTCTACCTCCATATTGATATTCAAATCCCGCGCTCACGCTCCTTCGGCGATCACCTCGACGACGAAATACCGCCTGGAATGGAATATGTGCACATGTATTTGAAGTCACTCGTGTGTGGCGCATTCGCGGTGGCAACACTAGCACCTTTCCGATCGGATTACCGCACGAAGATCCACCGGCACGGTTTGAAATCGCGGCCCGAATCGGCAATGTTGTTTATTTGTTTGCAAGCAAATTAGCCCTGATACTCTCCCGTCGCTCGGGTTAGCTCGTTTAACTCATGTGTAATAATTTATTTTGTATTGGCACCCATTTAGGCGTAGATTGGAGCGACCTGAGGCGAGCGGCAAAAAGGGTAGAAACTACCATACGACGGCGTTGACATGAGTAATAAGCTTAAGCCGAACGACTATCAGCCGAAGCCTGCCGGCAGGGGAAAGGCTAGCGGGGTAGTTCACTTCGACGAGGTTGATCAACACTTGCTGGAGGAAGGGGACAAGATACCATTTGTCGATTCCGAGGATGAAGACGACAACGATGATGCTAGAGGAAACAGTAGTGGCAACGCGTCCGACAACGAAGACGACACCATGACCGAAAGTCAGGAAAATCTGGCGATGGCCTATATCAATCGGTACAGGGTGCCCTCGCTAGCGGAACGACGGAACCAGGAGAAGCTAACGGTTACGATCGAGCATGAGAGGAAACCTCAACCGATCGGGCAGTGAGTTAACATGATGGTGTGATAGTTCGCGATTAGTGATTGTTTTGTATTTGTAGTGACCTCAATGAGGAAGCCAAGGATGTGCCAATGGAGCTTAAAACCGTCCAGGAAAGAGCCATCGGGTTGCGGAGAAATTCTATTTCTCTACCAACTCTGGCGGTGGAGGATTTGGACGCGCTGCGACAACCCAGGATAGAAGAGGAAGAAAGTGCAGAGCCTTTGGTGAGTGTTTAATTATAGAAATAACAACTCTTATCTAGCATGATTCCGGTACCCATGTGTGGGAGTGCGAAAATAGGCATTTGCTTAATTACGTAGGTTGCCCCCGTCTTGTGTGATAAGATATTGAGAGCTTTGTTTGGATTTTCTTCGATGCGAGCAAAGGCTACCGTGTGCGTCTCGGTGACCATGTGATGTGGTAAGATGAAAGGAACGGGGTTCGTGTGTACGAGTAAGTCTGACGCAGTTCTGATTGTAAGCCGGAAGGGGTAAGGGGTAAAATAAACTCAATTAGCTTCTGAAGCAAGGTGATTGATTATTCTATGGGGCAGCAACAGGTGGCCTCACGTGCTGCTTTGCTCTGCCGTGGAATATTACCTTGTCTTTAGCGTGAAGGTCGGCTTGTTATTGACTTTGGTGTTCTGGGTTTTTTGTTTGTGTATCATAATCTAGATTATCTGTTATAGGTCATAAAACATAGACATACATGTCAATCAATCAATCGTTCTTTGAAGATTGACCAGATTAGAGTTGAATATTGACCAGATGATTACGTTTCATATGAAAAAAAATCTTGATAATAATTGTAGATTTTCATTTGCGCTTTGTTTTCTTTATTATTATAGTCACTTTAACACTCTTGGGTCATTCGTGACTTGTCCGGGGGTGAGATTTGAACTCGCGACTTTGACGTGAGAGGTATGGATGTTAACCGCTTCCGCTACGCCAGGGTCGCCCCTATTTGCGCTTTGTTGTCACAGTGCTTTCCAATACTTTGGATAAGTTGCGAGTCCTTTAGCAAATTATCGTCCAAGATCGTTTTGAGCCATTGTTTAAGAACATCATTAATTAACTATGGACTGATAAACTAAATATGTAAATCATTAAGAAATATAAACAAATTAGTATTGATAGACACACACACAGAACAAAAAAATTTCTGACTGAATCATATAATTTTTTGGCTTTCAAAATTTTACTAACAGTTAATTTGGGAAAAATCTTCGAAATGTATCCAATTTGAAATGAAATAATGTTTGGCGTAAAACGATTACCTAAGTGTAATTTTACTGATAAACTAGTTTACACTTCTTGTTCTACAAAGCTACACAGTTTTGTTTTGTAATTTAGGGATAATTTGAGTGTAACGACCTACTTAAGTTCAATGTTTCAAATTATGGTGTTGACATAATATGAGCACGATTTATGATGTTTTTCGTTATAGTTCTTGAAAATACATACATCATACATTTTAAAACGTATTTACAAATTTATCATGTTCCATAAGGGGCTGTTCTGTCACTAAATAGACACAATTTAAGAGATTCTAGAAACCCCTAAGTAGAGAGTCGTTCGCACTTTTATTTTTATTTGTTGTTGCTTCAATAAATCAACATTCATAAGCCCTGGTTAAGGCTGTTTTGCCATTTATGCATCCACCAAAACCTCATTAAGACTAGAATCTGTCTAGGTGGCCCATCCTGGAGAAAGTTATCGCTACTAGAGAGGGTCTAGTATAAGAGGGGAGCGGACTGGCTGGTTTTGAGCCAAACAAATTGTTAAAAAAAAGTTGGAAAAAGTTCCTGGAAAATGATATACATACCTCCATCATTTTTCTTGTCTATTTGATATATGTTTCACATCGAAAATGCGTCACACATATCAAAACGGCCTACTGTGCAGCATTTAAGGGGCAAGAAGATTTAAACACGATGCTTCAGAATCCAATAAATGGATGAAACGTGGACATCTCGTACCGTACGTTCCGATTTTGGTAATTATATGATTGGTTGATCGTTGGAAGCATCAAAGCTAGAAAGGTTAAGTGATACTCCATTTTCTTCTGCCGGTTGGGACATGAGCACTAACTCTTGTCCTAGCCTTTTATGACTTATGGCTATAGCGCCGTTACTCGCTTTCTGAAAAGAGAAGAGGGCAAGGAAAAGGAGGACAAAGGGAAAAGAAGTATGTAACTCTATGAACATAAACAATATTTTTGTTTTGAAATATACAATATAGAAATGCATAACGGCGGTGGTCACTACCCGAGTCTTGTCACTATTATCAAGTCATAAAAAGTAACAAGGACTAATATGTGATCATTTGATTACTGGAAAATCGTGATTCCCTAGTTTGAAGTTGTCACGACTTGGGTTCGGTGGTAGATCTTATAACAGCAACGCACCACAAAAAGGTGATCTCCCAACGTTACTGGTTTGAAAAGATAAAAATTTACAAAATGGAACGAACTCACCAAGTTTAGCCAATTGAATCTGAAGGCTCCTTGACATGTGTTGATGTAGGAGTCCAAATTGTAGACGAAGCTTGACGAAGTTCAACATGAACTAGTCCGGTTTATGGTAGTTGCGTGGAATGTCTTCCGTTGATTTGAGATAAACAAATGTTCGGATGTATGTAGTCGATTTTTGATGTGCATTGGCGAGCCTTTTCGTGGCCAATAGTCAGGTTCAACGCTGCGACTCAACGAATGATGGAACTAATGTTGGGACGAATGATGGAACGCCTCATGGAGGTTATACTTGTCTTCGGAACAGCTTCTCAACGGGAAATAACAGGGACGTAGAACTAGATACAACGAGCTGCATCTCTCACAGGGCTTCTTCTGTCTTAGTGAACTCACTAAGGAACTAGAATTTGTCTTTTGAGCCTGCTTTTGGCCAGATCAGCAACCGATTATAGATATAAAAAAAAACTCAACGAAAAAAAACAAACGTTAGGTTCGATCACACGCACAGCCTACTCCTCCTAGCTGCTTGCAAAATCCTGTAGAAAAAAAAACATCATAGAAAAAGATTCATAAATACCATCTGATCTTATCAAAATAATACAAATAAAAATACTGTTGAATTTTCAATATTATTAAAATAGTTCTCATAAAGTGCCCTAGTTTTAGGTGCCATATTGAACAAATAAGTTCACCCTAGAAAACCGTCGATTTTACTATTTTTTTAAATTGAGAAATAAATTAATTATAATTATTCTTCAGATCGATCATTAATCTCAGCTGAAATATTTTTAATGGTTTTCTCATTTTTAATATTTGCCTATTGCTAAATTTTTCAAAATAAAGTTAAATCCAAAGAACCGAACATATTAAAACCGTAGATTGTATATAGTTGAAGATGCTATGTTTCAAATAACAGACTTAAAATGGTCATGTTTTTTTGTATGATAGATGAGAAGATGAAAGTATAGATTGTAGAAAACAAATAATTTTACTATGGCGGTTGCACAAAAGCTGATTTTCATGGATCATTTGTGAAAATGGGCCTTCATGAAATCACTAACAAATTCATGACTTTTATGAAGAAATCTTGCAGACTGAATTGTATTTACCCAAAGGCATTTGGCTTTTGGCAGCATTTATGGAGGCAAAGTTGCCTGCAAAAAGTTAAGCATCAAAGTTTGTTTATCTTCCGATAGTAGCGCTGTGTGATCATTGTAACGAGCTTTTACTTCAGCGTTCTTCCGGACGATTTTCTCTTGATGGGTTGGAAGTACGGAAGTATGCGATACCGTTTTGCCCATGTTGGCCCCTTAATGATTTTCGTAACAGTTCGATAAAAGAAGCTATTCTTTAGCAACTAATAAGACAAACATAGCCAGATGCGATTTTTGTAGCCGAGTTATTAACGAAAGAGAAGTCAATTATGAGAATCAATCAACATAGATAGGACCTTATGCATTGTTCGGGTTAAAATGCTCATATTGAAATAAAATAAAAATACAACAATTGGGAACACTTCGTGGAGAACAAAGAATTAAAAAAGCAAATGTGAGCTTTATAGGTTCCCAGGTGCTCAAGTCGCCTCCCAGCACTCGATTTACGTCGGCTATTATTCACCAATTGGCAATCGGAACACTTTGGTGATTATAATAGAAGGATTATAATAATGTTAATGATAATATAGAGTTCCCACGTGAACAAAGTCCAACGAAGTATTAAATAACACGAGAAGATTCACCAAGTATGTTGCTTGACGTAGGAAATGATAGTCTTCACACAATTAGAAATTATCGTCGACTTCGGTAATGTTTACCGAAATGTTCGGTAAAATGTATGCAATCCAATTAATTTCCGTTACTTTGAAGCTAAATCTCCACTAAAATGACAAGATTTGATCATTTAAACAAGGTTGAACATGTTTTGATATCAATTAGGAAAATTCCTCTTAGATCCATTGGATTCTTATAGTAATCTGTTTGGAAGTCAATTTGGAGAAACATGGCGCTTAAGTGTGAAAGAAAGGGGCTGTCTCTTGATCGCCCTTCTGATGAAATTAAATTGAGCAATTAATTTGATATGCTTACGGATGATGAGAATGATCCGTCATACAGGCAAAATTCTACTAAATATTCCCGGCTTAATGTTAAAAAGGAGAAGATTCCCCCTATTGTGGTAACCACTTCCGATTTCCATGCTCTACACACTTAGAAAAATTAATGTAAATTTAGGTGCTCTGAGGCTGACACATACGAGTGTCAATATTGACATAACATTTAGTCATAATAGATGTGAAATTCAGTTCAATAAAACGTGCTTTCGAATTTTTCAGTCTCGGAGCACTTAATTTTACATGACATGTTTGTTTACGTCTCATCCTTTATGTCAAAGATGGATTCCGTTACGTGTAAGATTAGGTATTTCTAAGTGTGTATGACAGCTGACGTTGACAAAAGCAAAGCAAGCGTGTAATACTTCAAACAAAGTAGCTATGCTCTTGCAGCAGACACTAATAGCGAATTCGTTTACTATCGGTGCGAAACCGAACTTTTTGTCAGTGCGAACCTCAACCTGAGCTGGGTTTTAAAAACAAACGATCAAACTGACGTTTGTCATATACCAAGCTGGCCCAATCTTGATACCCGATCCAGGTTGGAACTGAATAATAAACGAATTTGCTATAATTAAGCCGCAATTTAGGTTGAAATAAGACGTTCTAGCTCGTTGGAATGCCACTAACGATATGTTGGATCGAATCATACTCAATAGGGATGCTTTCGTGTCTGCTTTGGTACTTTTGGAGTCTAACCTGTCCTGCACTTTTGAGTTCTAACCTGTCCTCTAACCTGATCTGTCGATTTTCCGGTCTAGAGTCAAACGAGCTGGAAGCTTGATCGATACTACTAGATCCTCGCTTCAAAAGGCAGGGGTTCGGTGATGACGGCAAATACAACTATGCATACAAGTCGTTGATAGCGAATTTAAGCATGACAGCCGTAGAACCAACGTCTTTGGAACAACCAGATAAAACTATAGTCGCTATATTTATAGTCTGGCGGATAGAACTTCGATCTATCAAAAATCGGAACCAATTTAGACCACCAATTGAAAAGGTACTATTCAATTTTATAAACAAAACGTTGATTATTATTTCCTCGCCAATTGAACGCAAATGTCCAGCATCATCGGATAGGGGAAACTTTCTCCAACCCAAAGATGGTGTTGGTTAGCGTAGGCGAGCCTTGAGTCACGAGAAAGGGGTTTCGGAAGTTTTGTTCGCAATAGCTGATGTGCTCTTTTCTGTTGTTGGTCGTGATTTGTTCGATAGGTCCCGCTATTTGACAGCTCGATTGGTTTCCGAGATTCTATCCGCCAGACAATGAATATAGCGGCTATAGATAAAACCACTAGTGATGAAGCCCAGTCATCTGTGTGGGATGAGTTTGACGAGCTGATCGGGAAACTACCTACAAGCCGCGCATGATCCATCAGTAGCTGCAATCGTGGGGGTGGATAAGTACCTAGCCGAACCACACTTGCTGAAGATAAGCGACCCACTGTTATGGTGGGAAGAAAGGAAATCCAACTACCAAATGGGTTTGAAAAGGCTGTGCATTTCGGCCACTTCGGTTCGTTGTGAAAGAATTTTTTTCAAAAACGGGACAGATCTGCAGTGACAGATCTGCAGTTTTTAGTTTAATTAAATACTGATTTAAACTGTATCTTAATTGCCTCTTCCTTTATTACACGATCCGAATATAACATTTAGAGCCAGTGAGCCATTCAGATGAGTCGGTTCATCAAATTGAACACATGGTTCTGAGCCGCTCACTGTAATGAACCGTTTTGCCCATCAATTGCATAGAGTATTATTGTGCTTGCCACATAAAGCTGTCAATTTACAACTGTGAAAGTGCTTCAAAGAACAATCCTCGTGTAAGAGCATCAAAGCCGGGATGAAGATAGATCTAAAACAACGAATATTCCACCACAATGGCAAAAAATTGAATAATTTAGGAAGGCTGGTAGTGTTTTGATCAAACTTGATTTTTAAAATGACAGTCAACATTTTACCGATTGTTCAGCAGTTGAAAGTTCGGTAAAAATGTAAATTCCTGAGTGTGTAGTTTTAAAAAAAGTACTCAGCATTCAACAAGACACTAATTTGTGTGCTAGAATAGCCGGTCGTCCGACAGAATGACTGCAAATCCCATTATGAAAATTGGTCGCCTCATTCAACGATTTTCATTATCATTAGCTGAACAATACTTTACTGCCTGACGAAGGTAATCACGCTAGTTTTGCTTGCTCGTTGATATAAAAGAAGAAGCTAATCACATGGCCCTGAACAGAACAGTTTTGCCATTTATATATTGATAATAGTCAACCGGTTGTTGAACACACTGTGAGTTTAATGCGCCTATCGGTATGCAACTACGGCGGCAATATATTGCCGATTGGATTACTCGCATAGCTCGCCCACGTGCTTAGTAGTTAAAATTCAATATTTTTTACCATTAAAATTCATCACTAGGAAGTCTTCATTTAAGAATCAAAATCTACCCATTTTTTTAATTTAACTTCCAGGCCGTGGGAAAACGAAGCATCAGCACCGAGTCAACCGCCTCGCCGGAAACACCGAGCACTCCACAAAGCCTGAAGCCGATGCTTCACTTCGACAGCGACACCGAAGATGACCTTCCAAAGAGTCCTACTAGGTGAGTGCATTCTATTTCCATTATATTACTAGTGCAAGCTACCGGTCAGTCAGTGATAAGAAGGCAGTGATGTCGCACCGGTATCTAAATCCATTCGATAAATCCCGTCAAAACATACGCAAACGATGAGTGTGGGTGGTAAGCTGGTGGGAATTTCGTTCACTCACCAGTTCCGCCATCCGGCATCTGCGATAAGGTTTGGGTCACGGTATGATTTGGTGATATAATCCGCGCTGCTAATAAATCACCTGCTCTGGATTTTGCGGATTAGAATTGGATTCTACAGAAGTCGATAAAATTCCGCCGGGAGCTGATATAAGTGTGACACGGGATGATTTTAAAGGAAATCCGTTAGAAACAGCGTGAAGTGTTACTCGTTTTGATTTTGTATGTATTAGTAAAGTCTTATTCATACTTTGGGTATTTTTGATACAAAAAAGGTTTGTGAATTTGTGTAGTAAGTTTTTTTTTTCATACCTATAACTTAGTTCCAAGCACGCCAGCTGTAGACTTTGTACCCGTACTGGACTTGTTCAACAACCCACATTTAAATTTGCTGTATGAATAATTTTTATTTTGCCAAAGCAGTTTCTTAAATTTCATTTTCAATTGTGATTGGAGTTTTGCACCCCCTTTTTGTTCTTCGATATTTTGTAAAATATTTTAACATGACAGCTTGCGTCACCTCGAGTTCCAATCCTAAATACAATTTTTCAGTTGGTTTTGCATAAGTCAGACAAAAATACAATTGTTAATTCGGCAACTTAGAACAAATACATTTACGTGATGAGTGATTCATGTGGTAATCAAACCAGATCGGTAAACTGACCATGGACAAAGGTCATGACTTTGCATTGATTTCCGCTCCGACTAGCTGCTAAATATCAGTTTTTAAATCGTCTGCATATAACAACAGCTTAGTGGTCACATATGTCGTTAATTAATAAAACGATAATGAGCGGTCCTAAATGCCTTTCCTGTTAAACATCCGATAGCCTATCAAACACATCGGATCTGACACCATAAACCATAACGGAGGCCTTCGTGGGTGATAAATATGAACTCCACCAAGATCATGAAAAGCTTTGTCTAAGGTCTTAGGGAGCCCCCTCTCCCCTTTGTCTCGTACGGTCACAATTTCTCGATCAACCCCTTTAAAATTTCGACACTTCATAACACACAGATAACAGATAACAAAAGATAGTGCAGAACCATCCAAAAACTGTGACGACACAAATACACTTTCTTTTAACCCCCCTTAATTAATTTAGAATTTATTTTGAAAATAATTTCATAAAATTTTTACTAAAATACGATCATTTATTTAGTTCAGAATAATTATTAGAAAAGCGGTTAAAATTTATAAAAGTATGTATTTTCATGGGAAATTTCATTCCTCTTCCTTTCTGAGCCGGATTTATACTATGGCTTTAGACAACTATGCTTGAAGAGTTACACGGGAAATCGAGAAAAAACGTGAAAATGCTGGAAATTCGAGATCACCTAGAAGCATGTGAATTTCAATGAAAAATGAGGTGAAATGAAAATTCTGGACCTTATAAAAATATAGAGACCCTTGAACTGGACTAGATTTTCAGGTTAAATTAATCACTTTGAAGAACTTTTAAGAGAATTTTGATGACAAGTTTAAAGGGATTTAGAGAAGATTTCGAAATTAATTGAGGTAGCTCAGAGGGAATTTCCAGGAGAGTTTTGGGAAGAACTCTAATGGTGGTAAGCTCCAACCGGTATTATCCTCGGATTAAATCCCTACAAAGAATGTCCGGTTGCTTTGATGTCTACATCACAGTTAAAGAACACGACTATAAGGAAACATTTTGCAGATGATCCAAACAGGGACGGTATTAACATTTGATCCGAGATGGAGCTTACCGTCATAAGAGAGTTTCAACTAGAACTCGAAGGCAGTTGTGTGAATTCAGAGAAGAATTGTTAAGAAGTTCTCTGGAAAATTCCATGACGATTGTGTTTAGGGTGCCAGGGTCCACGAAAATCATCAAAGGAAGCGAATACTGAGCGAACATTTCCAAAGGAGATCTCAGAAGAGTTTTAAGAGAATGTATAGCAGAGTCGAGCAGTTTTGAGTCGGCGAGATTTTACTTTAATCATAGCTCATAGCTAATATTTTAGGGAGAGCATCAATTTTAGGTTCTAGGAGAGAAATCTAAAAATAATGTAAAAGACATAGTTAGAATGGTAAGATACGTCATAAACGGCTTGAATGATGTGATCCATTCCAATGGCATCTCGAGAATAATTTTCAGACTATGCTGAGGAGAATTCCAAGTGATTTTTCTTAAGAGTTTAGAGGATAACTTCAAGGTAATTATGATATCTACTCCCTAAACAGTGATTTAGTTATATCACAGATGGAATGAAGCGTTAGATGGATTTTCGTGGAAGTAAAGAAGATACAAATCATGCGTTGTCAAAATCTTGAAGCCCTTAACACATTTTAGGTCAGTCATGGCTTGTTCGGATATGAACTTTGAATTCGTAACCTTCAGTGTAAGAGCCATGAATGTCCAACAAACAAATTTAGAGCTGGTTAATGGCTGAATAAGCCGTCCCCAAATTCTCGAAATCTATTTGAGGCTGTCAGAACATGAAGGCGATCAGAACTACCTTGAAGTTTTCAGAACTTCCTTGAAATTTACATGAAATTCTCTAAACTTCTCAAAAATTCCCGATATGTTTCTGATGTTAATGGAACTAACAAAACAGCTCCCAAAATTTTCCGGAAATTCTTACAACTTCACTAAAGATCCCATATTTTTCCTGATGTTCATGGCACTCTCAACTGCCTTGAAGTTTTTTATTTAAGTTAATCGAAATGTTCCTGACGTTTTTGGAATATCCCTAAGTCCCAACAATTTTTCGAATGTTCATGGAACTGCTCTGATGTTTCCCTTTTTAAAGATCTTTAAACTTACCAGAAGTATTCCCGAAACGATTCTAGAACCGTCCTATCGTTCATACTGGCGACAATGCTCTGATGAGACAATGAATCCCCACCCCCAACCTTCTCCCCTGATCCTATCCTTCAACAATGTACCGCTATAACCTCGACTAAGCCACGAGCAGTCAGCCCAACTCCTACTAGACATAGAAATAAGTGAATTTTTATAAAGACAATCAACAATAAATTATCGGCTCCGTAAAGCTAATGCGATTGAGCCTTCCAAAGATTAAACATGTTAATATCCGGACACATTAAAAACTCTGCCACGAAGGCATTTTTTGAGAACTTTTTTTTTCAAAATTTCACTTAATCAAGCTAAGAGTGTATAGAATCACAGTAGGCATTGGTTATCAGGTCATTTGTTTACATCATGGCTTTACCGGAACAAGCACGTCACGATTCGATCCTGCACGCTGGAAACAAAAATCCTGGTCTATCCGCTCTTGGCAGTTTTCGATCAATTTCCTGGGCAGTAATTTTATACCTCGGTTGACGAAATTCCCAAAAAGCTCCTTGTCTGGCAAGCAATCTGCAGTTGTGGACTGAAAAGCGAAACTTTCGTTACTTCTGGGACCATGAACCAGCAAATTTACAAAGAGGAGTGCCAACGGAAGAGACTACTGTCTTTTTTGGAGCAGCATGAGGTGGAATGCCTATTCTGGCCGGACTTGGCAAGCTGCCACTACTCAAGTTCCACCAAACGGTGGTACAGCAAAAATGGCGTCACACTGGTTCCCACGGAGATGAATCCGGACAATACTCCAGAACTAAGGTAAATTGAGGAATACTGGTCAATTGTGAAGTACATACTGAAGAAAAAGGGTGGAACTGTAATTGAAAGATTTCAAGCGGAAATGGAATTTGGCAGGACTCGATGATGGGCCGTGTACGAAGAAAAATTCGAGCAATGGCCTATGGTAAGAAGGAAGACTGAAACAATGGTCTTACAATCAGCATAATGGGCCTTATTACGGGTGTCACTACACGGTGATAAGGAAGTGATACTCATAATAAGAACCGTGATTGCCGTAAAAATCAAATGAGAATCACTTCACCGTGACGACAAGTGACAAGTTTTCACCGTGAAGTGACATCCGTAATAAGTCCCAATACCTACTAATTTATAGCTCTTACATTGAACTATGAAAAGTTAAACGTATTTTTAAACCTCAACCAGATTTTCGTGTCCGGTTTTTTCGTGTTCAACCTTTAGATAAAAAAAGTACTCACAAAATGTAGAAATGTTCTAAACGTAAATGGAATTATCATGAAGTACTCGAAATTTTCTTGAAGTTCATGGAACTGCCCTGATGTTCTCACAACTTAGCCTTACATAAATCTAATCTTCCCCAAAGATCAGAACTTCTATGTGCTTCGGAGACTCTTTGAAGTTTTTGAAAATTCTCTTAATATTTTGGATACTCTCTAATGGTTTTGCCCAGTTAGTTTTTATAAAAGAAAAAACAACATATCGGTTCTCAGAGCTGGTTGCTCTTGGAGTTCAAACCACAACAGACCTGGACGGAATTGGAATCATGAAGCAGTGTTAGATATTCAACATTATTTCAACAACTTGTGGCTCTTTATCAAATTCACCGGTACGTATGGAAAGGCGAATAAATATAGAAGCCATCTCAACAGTTCCAGTATAATATATATGAAAATCACTTCCTCTTTCTTTTTCATCAACCACATATCGAAACAGTAAACCGTTAACTACTTTAAAAATCAACACCATAGTCAAATATACTATTCTTTGCTTCACTGACAACCATTGTAAACCGTCCAGCATCAAAGTTGAGGAAGTTAATCTATTACATCGCAAAATTAAACGCATTATTTAATTCTGCAAGTGCTGTAATCTCGATATTTGTCTTTCATTGGCCAGAAATAAAAGGAAGGGCAAAAGTCTAGATGAGGGGAGATGATTGATTTGCATAGCTGTATTTTACTGGAAATAATTGAATCATTTTTCCATCGACATAGAATTCCATACTTCTTGGAAATTTTCTTGTTG